GGAAATAAAAAAATCGAGATTGTCCGGTGACATTTCATTCCGAAGGAGTCGAAAAGTAACGAATTTGGAAGACCGCTTGCTTGATTTATTGGTAGACTGTTATTTAAATGTCACCCTTTCCAGTCGGTGTGCCCTACCCTCGACTGGTTTCGAGGATTTCCTGAAATCGCAAAAAATGTGCTCATTTTAGACCGCAAATTGGTGGATGCAAAACAATCGCAGTCGTGCGAGGCCGGAATCAAATTACAAAAAAATTGGAGTTGCTAAAAAAAAAATACTATTGACGATGTGCAGCTTTCTGTGCATCGTTGTCAATCCAAACAGAAAATAGTCCTGAATTTTTATTGCAAAATTTAAAGAGAAGCAAAGGTTTTCACCATAATTGCAATCTTCGACGATTCCATTTTCACCCGATCCCATTCACCACATTCCGATTCGTTGCCCCCGGAGTCTCGTACATATGATTATGTGTGACGAACCCGGTGTTCACGGAAGCTTACCTAAAGATGAAGAAAGGGGGAAATGGGGGCCGCCCCCCCTCCCCCTATAGAGGACAGAGTGCATCTTCTATCAACGTATTTCTCAGGGGAAATCAGAGAAGAAGCCATTGCCTAGCATCGTCAATAATTCACGCGGGCCACCTTCCATCCTCCTTTTCTCTTCCTATCCCCCCGCTTATCATTAGGAGGCTTGTGTCTCTGTTTAACCTGCTTCTCCTTTGTATCCAATATGTGCTCGGATGCCTTCCCATTTATCTTCCTCTACGACCTCATCTTCGCGGAGTTATGAATTTTCGTCTTCCGATGCGAAGCGTCTCTCGAAGATCATTCCCATCAAAGGTTCTCGGGGAACCATATAGTAGAGTAGTTCATGGAGTAGAGCGTCTGCCCTTAGGGAATCACACCAATATTAACTTTTTTTTTTCAAAGGATCTTTCTTTATAAAATTCAGACTTTCCAGATCAATCAACCCAACGACCGAAGCATCTCCAAAGTGAAATGCAGCCGATCTCGTCGTCTTGCGGCCACCAGATCACGAGATGAACCCCCGTGAATTTCATGAAGTCGATCCAAACCCTAAGCTGAGCGTGATCCCGACCCAGATTCACATGCACGAAGTAAAATACAAGAGCCCGCTGCGCTTGATCGGTCTGTCCCTCGGTGCGCAATCGAAGCAAGAGCGAAGAGACCCAGCCCATTTCGAGGCCCAGCAGAAGACAGAAATAAACTTGCCTTCGTCTTTATTGAGCAAATGAACGTCAGTGGCAATATGTGGAAGACCCACAGGCCCTCTGTCACGAAGCATTAGTCCCTTTCCTAACTAATTGATATTATTAATTCATGTTTCGTGCACGGAGCTCATTGCACTCGCATTTTTTGCGTTAACTAAAAAATATTTTAATCTCGAACGTTTTATTCCTGAATTTCTGTTCTTTCTCATGAAAATTCGTCAGGTTTTTCCATTTTCTCGTATAACTGAAGCACTCTAATACCCGGAAGAAATGCACGGAATCTTCCTCATCGACGACGCGTGCTGCAGCGGAATTTCTCGCGTAGAAAAAGAAAGGCTCATGAGAGGGGAAATAAAGGAGGGGGGGGGGGGGAAAAAGAAAAGGAAGAAGGGAAGAGAAAGGCTTGTCCCTTCCCGAGGATTGACCGAGCGACTGCGGTCAAAAAGGGGGATGGAGGTTCGAAGGGGAGAAGAGAGAGGGGAAAGTCATAAAGGAGGTCCACCCAGGCATCTTATAATAGATGAAAAGCCAGCTGCCTCTTTTGTCCCCGTCTAATAGCAATTTAATGTCCTTGCTCTGAAAAACCTGATGGGAATTTAATCTTGAGGCCCGTGGAATGAGATGAGACGAGGACCGTCTTCCCTCCTTCTTCCCTTTGCTCATAATGATGGATTCCTGCTCGCCGGGGGGAAAAAAATCCGCCGAAAATGAGGAATTGCCTCGGGATTTCTCATTTCATGATTTTCGGATTTCTTATTCCTTGTCGAAAGCGGTTGGGAGTCGTCGAACTGTTGCGATTTCGACCGTCGCGTCTGCGAGGACCGCTTTTTTTCATCGATTCGAGCGGAGTTTCAGGGTTCCATGTTTTAAGGAAATTATCTCTCGACGATCTTCGTTTCGTAAAGTGTAATTACGTTATTAGTAATTTTTTAAAGTAACTTCCGCCACGGTTCAATCATGCTGGGTCGAAAATGCGTGCAGTCCAGTTTAATTCGTTCGTGTCGTTGGTTACAGAATCGTCCAAATGCGCCATTTTCTACATTCTTCAAAAGAGTCAGTCGAATTTGAGTCTCCCCGTGATGAAATTGCCGCGTAGTCCCTCATCACTCGACAGCAGATACTCGAGTGTCAAGCTGGCGAACATTTCCCGGTCCATCTGCTCGGCATTCTGGAAAAGGAAACAAATGCCAGATGGTTTCGGCGATTGCGAAACTCAAGGATCTAATATGATCTTTTGGGTTTTCGTTGCTGCGACTAAAATTTCAACTATAATTCTACATCACATTACTAATAATTAAACCCAGAAAATAACTTTTTCAAAATCAAATCATACCGATATCAATTTTTTTCAGAAGAACCGAATCTCTACATTTCAATAAAATATAACCAATGAGCCTCTGCACCACTCTAACTCGATGAACTTCTTTTAAATCGAGAGAGTGGTTTTATCAGTGGGACTCGAACATGCGAATTTCCATTTCGCGAATCCATGTTCTAGGGGAAATGGAAGGGCGGATTGCAACGATCCCATATGCATGAATAACAGGAAAGCGGGAATGGAGATTCTGCAGGGGATATCGCGGAGACCTCCCTTTCCTCCTTCCCCTCCCTTTCCTGCCTCCCCTCCCTCCCACTCCTCCCTGGAATTTCCTTGCGAGCATTTTGGAAGCCTCATTTCCTGGGAAGCGTCGCCACCTCATGCATGCCAATGACGCGAATCCACTTCTCGCCCTCTCCAACAAATACCCTTCTACTCCATCACTCTTCTCGCTTTAATCAGCGAAAATTCTCTTTTCCCGGGGATTCTCCAAACGACAATGACGAATGGACTCGATTTCGAGACAGGAGCACCAAGAATGCTTTATTCAGATGTTCATTTGTTCCCCCGATTCGGATCATACCGGGTGGCGATTTAATTCCGCGGGAACGGCGGTGATCCCACATTCGTTTTTTTTCTTCAATATTTTATTTTCGAGGATCCACATCTGCCCGCATGTTCCAAGGTTCGCCATAGCCTATTGAGAGCCCTTTCACTCTCATCACACCCCGAAAGACCTAGTGATTTTGCCTCGCCGCCCCCGAAAGGGAAGGATTTCCAAGAAATCCATCGACATCTTGGCCTTTCGTGCAGCGCAACTCGTCAATCACGAAGCACTTCGGGCTCACCTAAGCGAGAAGCCTCGCGGACCAATCCGGCAGGCCGAACGAGGCGGAAGAAACGCGCGACGAGACACGAGAGAAAAAAAAAACCGTAATCGCCAACGAGGCACCATCGCGGTATCGCCAAAGAGGCATCGATTCCTCGCGAGCACAGGATAAGCATGACAAATCGTAATTTAAGCACACCATTCCGATGCGCTTGAGGTTCCATGGGGGGAAAAGGGGGAAAAGGGGGGAAAGGGGGCTTTCCTTCCGTCTGGGATGAGCAGGGGGAAAGCATTTGCTGGAATATTCATGCCCGGGCTCGGCAAACAAGAGAATCAGTCCTTTTTACTTTTTTCTCTGCACTTCCCACGCCCGGTCCAAATGAATAAAAATTGTTCACATTACTGGCTCCCTCTGTTGCCGAGTTGTTTTCAAGCACGCGATCGGTTTGCTTCATCCCAACTCTAGATCGATAGGGTTATTCGAACTAGGACAATCTTCAAGGCTCGGGCAACGCTTCCAGCGATTTTCTGTCGGGCAGCCGAACAAAAGCAGCATAATAGCAACATTAAAGTGCTCTCTCGGACAAACTGATGGACGCGTGCTTCGAGATGACTCATTTGAACGTTTTCGGAGAAGTTCGCGGGATCCGAGGAGCGTTTAGCGCACGATTCAAGTCTGAGGAAAGGAAGAAATAGAAGTCGATTGATTTCCTTACTTTCCCCTTTGTTCGCATCTGCCAAATTGGCTAACCATAAACTGGACTGCTTTCCACAAATTGGAGTCCTATGGGAGTCGCTTCATCCCGTTCCCAGTCACCAATATGGAATTGGATCAGCTTAAGCTTAAATGGATCTCACCCATTTCACCCTTCGTATGCGGGATACAAATTTCTCGAGGGGGATGAGGCGAGAGAGAGTGTGAGAGAGAGAGAGAGAGAGAAGCTGTTTTAAAAGTCGTTTTTCGACGTCCGAGGGAGAATGAAACGGGAAGACTCTTCGCCTCCGCCGCACCCTTCTCCTCTCTCATCCCCAGACTCTCTGGGACCTTTTTCACGAAAATTCTTTAACTTTTCTTTAACTTTATTTCGGCTATATTCCGACTTTATTCCGGCTCAAAATAAAGAAAAAATAAAGACACCTTTGGAGGTCTCTCTATCTCGACTTTAACCTCTCTGAGGGCTATGGAAACTCACCTATGCGTATTCTCAATAACATGCCCCAAGCGTTGCATGTGCATTCCTTCTGCCACTTGTGACTTACCGCTCTCCGTGTTCACACGACCATGGCTGCAAGGCTTCACCTAATTCGAAGGCAACTTTGTCGGGAAAGAGTACTTTGCGACCGATTCCTGGCCACAGGCTCCATCTAATATGGTAGGAATGGAAAGGCCATGACCATTACTGGGCACGTTAATAAGAATACACACAGGTGAGTTTCCGTAAAAGTCCTCTGAGAGGTTAAAGTCGAGATAGAGAGACCTCCAAAGGTGTCTTTATTTTCTCTTTATTTTGAGTCGGGATAAAGTCGAAATATAGCCGAAATAAAGTTAAAGAAAAGTTAAAGAAGTTTCGTGAAAAAGGCCCCTGATCGGGATTTTCATTCCTCGATTCCAGAATTCATTCTCAAATCGGTGCCGTTTCGCCGCGGACGGAGGAAGGCTCCTCGCCTTCGCCGTGTTCCTCCTTCTCCCCTTTTTCCTTGCGCCTCGTCCCGGCCCAACGGGAGGCTCTTCCCTGCGTACGACGGGGACATAAATCTAGTAGAAAATTTATATTTAGAGTGCTCGTGACTCGATGCGAAAGCTGTCTCCGATCGTTAGAAAGGAGCAGGTGAGTGGCTCGGTCGGGGGCTCCCTCAGGAGACGAGGGAGTCACCGATCCAGGTTCCACACGAGCAAAACAACGGAAATCCAAGGGAGATCCTCGAGCATTCGTCTCGAGATTTTAATCGTTAAAGATCCCGTAGGCGAAAGCGGAACTCGTAGCACGGAGTGACCGTGAAGCCCTAATTCAATTTCCCAATGGGATCAAAGAGACGTTACCGGTCACATCGGATTAAATGATGTTCCTGGGGAAAGAAACGCTGGAACTGCATCCGTGCCGGATGTTTCGTCCCGTCAAAGGGTGAGAATGGACGTGTCCATCCTTCTTTTCTCGTGTTCGTACTTCGAATTCAAGCTGAAATTTCTCGTTCTTGATCTTCGAGATTATTTAATTTAAGCCGGCAGATGACGGGGGTCGATGAGGTCGTCGAACTAATGCGACTGACCTCATCCACGAGGACGATGGAAATGGAGGTCGGTGGGAAAATCGCATCGGATCGCGTCGGTCTCCTCTTCCGCCTCGATTCCGATATTTAATACGACAGAACGAGTCCCGAGATTGTCCGCTCGTTTGCCGAAGTGAAACGACATATTCTCCCGAGTACATGGCTTTTTTTTGGCTGTTGCAAGGCGAGCAAAGAGGTTGTAACGAGACAGAAAAGAGAGAGAGAGAAAGCGATCCAATTCCTCGCTGAAATTTCCAACAAAAAAAATCTGCAAGACCCTCGAATTTTTCAGGCTAGAGCAGGTCGCCCTGAAAATTAGAAGTGCGGCACGGACAGCTTCGAGCTAGACAGAGCTGAATATTTTTCATGAGCGCGCTTTAAGAGCAATTTTAAGCAAGGTTAATTAGTAATGATATCGTATAATATAGAATTCCACGCCTACCTGCGTGGAAATGATCCAGGCTTGCCGTGCCTGTCTCCCGGGAACCCCGAAGTCATGAAGAACGTAAATGTATTCGTCCATGTCGATGTATCCATTCCCTAGAAGAAAAAAAAAATCCCGTAATTTTAAAGAGTTTTCCCATGAAATTGAGTTGATCTGAGGACTCCGGCAATAGATCTTGCAATTATGTCTACGTGGATGCATTTGAATACCTAATCACTTTGGGTTTCAACGGGCCATAAATCACCAGAAGAAATCACATTCACGATACGATTGAGGAGACGGAAACAGAAAAATCTGCGATGGAAAGAGGGAAAGAAAGCTGATGAACGTTTTTTTTTCTCATTTTCATGTGAAATCGCGTGGAAAACATTTCATTTCCTCGTTCTCATCGCGCTTTTCAGAGCGAGCTCATCCGGCTATGAAATGGCGAAATTCGGGGTGCTCTCCCCCCGCGATGCCGAGTTTTTGAATCGCGTTGGCCGGACGCACCAGATCGATCGAAGAGGTTGAATTTGTAGTCGAGGTACTGGGAGACCCAGGTGGGGAGACGGGATTCCAGGGATGTCGGATCCTCGGTTCGCCTCTCCCAGAACCTCCACCTCTCGACGAGCTTCCGGCATTCCTTCGCTTGCTCCTCCTCCTTCAATCGATACACCAGGCGGCTCCACATCCGCAGCTGGGGCAGAATCAAGAGTCAACACGGAATGGGGAATGCTTCCCGGGAAACTCCATGGAAGAGACCGGGTCGTTTGGACTGCAACACTGCCGAGAATACATTTGGGGCACGTTCCGTTTTTACATTCCTCTAATTAGCGAATTTTATTAATTTTTCCGCGGGAAGTAACGATCCTCAGATTTCAAATTTAAAATTTTCTTCGAACTTTCTTTAATTTCCAAGATTTCAGGAATTATCGCAGGTTAAAGTTTTTTTCTCTACGCGATAACTTTCCGCTCATTAAGCACGATACGTCTCAACTTCGCGAATGGACGTAGTGGCCCAAATCAACAGCTAATATGAAGAAAAAAAATTTTTATTTTCCAATACTCGCCCTTGTGCCCGAAGAGCCCCAAAGATGTATGGAGGTTCTCTTGGGTCTGCTTTGCAGTTACTGGACAGTACAGAGGAAAGAAATGGGGGGGGGGGGGGGGGGGTAATTGCACCTCGCCCTTTCTCCCGCCCGTTAGATAGATCAATTTGATCCCTTCAGTTATGTGACTAGTCTAGTTGTCTTTAGTTATGTGTCGTTTCGTAGATTGCTGCTGTCAATAAACAAGCTATCAAAAAGTCACCGTAACACGAAAATGGTCACGACTTTAAAGAGCCCTTCCTCCCTTTTGTCTTTGGCGGATTCTCTGATTCAGTCCCTAGCAATATTGGCATCTCTGTCGAGTTCACGCCGGATATTAATCCCCTCGGCCCGCAAAGTGGTTTCCAGAGTGTATGAAAGGCCTCGAATAGTGGGCGATTCATCTGGGGTCATTCGAATATCGTAGCCTTCGTTACACTTTTGGACAGGTATTGCTTCTTTAACCTATATTTCAACCATTACGATATAATATTTAAAGAAATTGTTGGGGTCGAATAAATGGATCACGCATGATTAAATTCGTATTTATAAAATAAGTTTAAAAATTAGCAGTGGGATCCATTTCCATAAGATTTAATTAATTTTCAAAACTCCGTCCATTACACGAGACGCATTCGCACGGGGATTGCATTCGAATTGCAGAAGTCTCTTCCAGGAAACCTTCAATTTCGCGAGGCGTTATTAGATCTCTCGGGGAAGCTCGAGGAGTCGAACTTGGATTGCGTCGGGCCTGATGAGCCGGGAAGGATGCAGCTCGGGATTAACCAGAGAGGAAGGCTGCTCGAGGGCTGAGACGATTCAGGCTGGTGGGGGAGGGCTTGTTGAGCCTGGTGGAAGAGGCTTCCGACAGGCTCGATCGTCTTGTTGGCTCGGTGCTGAATGTGTCTGTGACTCTCGTTGTCACGTTTGGCTTAAGGCACCTTTTTGACGAGTTGAGAACCGGGGGTAAAAGGGCACGGCAGCGAGTTTGGTCCGTTTGGCGCTTCTCGGAGCAAGATTCAGTGCCTGGACCTTTTCGATGCTTTTGTGTGATAAGGAAAGGACTCGGACAGGTAAAGGCCCGCAGCGGCCGCCTCGTGCCGCAAGTCTGGGGGCCTCGTGCCACAAGTCTGGGGGAATCGTCGCTTTTTCTCTCTTCTAAACGCTGCTTTTCCGTGGTTCCAAGCTTGCACTTTAAGCACTACTTGAACATGAAATTGAAGGCACTTCCCAGACATGCAACGAGCGATAGTTTTCATCCATCGTTCCGCTAGGGCGTCAAAGTCTCGCTTTGTGCTGGGTGAATCTTGCTTCCCGCACTATAGACCCCATCCTATATGTAAGATTGGCGCACGAACGTACTAAAACAAAAGGTAATCTGTGTATCCGCCAGGGACGTTCATTCTTCGTATACCCTATGCTGCATTTGTCTAGCCACTTTAGCATTCAACTTTTTTTTAATATAATCAGGTCTCTCTTGTTAACCTAACTACACGCACCTCATCCAAGAAAGAAACCATGAAAAAAAAAGATTCCCCAGAAAATGAGGAAATGCGAGAAGAGTAAGGAAACATCGGAGATACCCATTCGGACTTGGAGACGGAATCATCGTGATTGCGATCGGTCTCTTGCAGCAGGAGCCCCCACATGTGCTTCAAGAGGCTCCTGGCGTCCAGGATCTTCTCGTCGTCCTTGTGCCATCCGCCGAGGACGGTCAGGCGTTCCAGTGCTTTCTCCCAGTCGGCCCAGTCCAGGCGGCCGTTCCCGTCCACGTCTGCAATGGCCGGGGGGGGATTGAGTCGAGTGGAATTTTGTGGTGATTTCCCATCGGGGAATCGAGTCTAATGTAGTCGATGGCGATTGGGAGAAGAAAATGATCCGAGTGTACTACTCGAAGCTTTCTCTTTACCTCGAATCTCTTTTTCCGAGATGAAGGTCTCAAGAGAAATCTCGGTCCTTGCATTAACACGGCACCGTTAAAATACAATCGCCTGTTCTGGCTTCCTTCTATGGGAATGCAGACGCACTGTGTAACAGGAAATAGGAACCAGAAACAAAATAAAACTGTCAGCCCGCAAAAAAAGTCAAGGAAACATTCTTGAAGGAGGCTCTATGGTTCCTTCTTAAAACCTCACTGTCGGTGACTGTTGCATTGAAGAAGAAAATATAAATAAATGGATGCCCCTTTGGCATTAAACATTTTCCTCCCGTCCGGCAAATAACCACGGCTCATCAATGTATCCGTCGATGGAAGAAAGACTCGAGTCTTCCCCATCCTCCTCCATCCTCACCTATCCTCCATCGTCGAAGGATTTCTTCTCTCCGCAGGCATGAAGGTCGATGGAGGGAAAGGAATATGCCGGAGGGAAAGGAATGAGGGATCCGGGAATAAACTAACTCCGTCTCGCGCCGATCACGAGCAGCCTTCCTTTTCTCTCTGCTCGGGTGTCGCGAAGAATCAAACAGGTCTAATGAGGGTCTCGTTTAGCGCCTAAACGAACCTGCTTTCATGCTGGAGTATTCTTCGAGTTGACTGAGTTATTCCCGTGGAAGCTGCATGAGCGCCCTTACCTTCCCTGAGTGGCTAAATTGCCAATTACGAGTGACATGAGGGAAATGAGTGCTTTCCTCTTGACAGTTTAAAATATCGAGTTTACCTCCTTCCTATCGTTATAAGAAATTTCATTCTCAAAATGAGGGTGGGGGGATTGAGGCGAGGATTTTAGTCTCGCGCTTCAGAGCATTTTCAGGAAATTCGAGGGATTTTTTCTTTCTCCAAGTCCCTTTCCGTTGCGAAGCCCTTCCGGCGTCGGATCCTGCGAGGAATCATCATCGTTTAAGCTCAAAGCGAGTACTAACGCTCCCCCAGTTTGGAAGAGGGGCGGGGCGGGGCGGGGCGGGGGAGGAAATTTTGCTGTGCCTCATTTTCCAAGAAGATCTCGGGGAATCAGATCGAGGACATTCACCGTCACCTTTTGTGCCGATTTCGATTCGAACACAGATCCATCATCTCGATGAGTTATGATTCTCTCCCGTTCTCATTTCGCAGCGATGGCAAATGAGTTCTCTCGATGTCGGGATTCGGACGCCTTCGAATGCTGGAGCGAAGGGATTCAGAGGATGAATGCGTGACTCCTCCGATTCCTGGGGGATTCCCGAGATTTAAGAGCCTCTTCTCTCTCTCTCCTCTCTCGTGGAATTCGGGGCACATCCTTGACAATGAAGGCAAACGCCTGAGAATCCCCTGCAGAGGGAGGGGAGGGGAGAGAAAGGCGAAGCGGAAGGAAAAGTTTTGGGTGAATCAAGGCGGGGTGGCATCGGCCTCGTTTCTTTCCAGCAATTTTCTTCTTTTTTTTTTTTTGCAAGTCGGAGAATTTTCGTCTCGGCGAGGAAGAATTGGCATTTTGAGGGAATGTCATAAGAATTTAGCACAGGTTGGAGGAGGGGGACCTGCAAATGTGCAAATGTGCAAATTGTGTCCCGATGTGGAGCATTCGACTTGATGCATTGCTTTCTCCTCTCACTGTCGGAAAACGCGGGTCATAAAAGACCGGTGCATTTAAATAAAGGCTTGGTGTATCGATTTGTAAATACAGAAAATGGAACCACATGTTAAAGTCTGTAAAATAACAGGTAACATTTGAAAGTCGAGATTTGAAGGGTAAAAATGATTTGAAAGTAAAAATGAAAAAGAAAATTCCGTGAAAACGCGATGCATTGACGCGGAAGACTTGCCATCGCTTTAATCTTTTTCTCGGCGTTGCGTGATGCTGGCGCCATCTGCTTCACGATTTGGACGCTGACAAGAGTCAGCCGACAGAACGCCAGATGTCGGCTTCATCCGTCTCTCGCCAGCTTCCTCAATGATCAAGAAGTGGACCGGATGGTGTGGACCAATTTTTTGGCAGAAGCAACTTCGATTTGCGTTTGCCAATCGGTTTTGTTGGCTTGCATTAGTTCACCTTACGTGGGTCAAATAAATTTTTGTCGAACCAAACTGTGATGGCCTGATTGGCTTATATAATCTAGAAAAAGGGGCGCCAGGGTTATCTCGAGGCATGGCCCTAGAGAAAAAAAGGGCGTCAGAGTTATTTCGAGTCTGTGAGGACGACAGCTTGAGCCGTCTCGACCTCGGTTACCGAGGACCTCGGCTGAGTGGATGGCGAAAGCGACAAGCAGGCCGCTTTCGTTCCATCCACACTCAGAGAGCCGAGTTGGGTGAACCAATGGGAAGAGAGGGATGAAGAAGCTTCTGGAAAGGAAGTTGTTCGGACATGGATCATCTATGGCAGTGGTTCCCAACCATTTTTTATTTGTGGCACACGTAAGGACACTTGAATTTCCCGTGGCACTTACTTTCAATGGGAAATTTGTGCTTGCTTCGCCGAACGCAGCATTTTGTTAGGAGACGGAATTGTCGATGGTGCAACTCTCGACTCATTTTCCACTGAGGGAAGGCATTCCCTCCCGTTTTTAGTTTTAGTTTTTTTGCTTTGTCAACTATCAAATCTCACGGAACGTATCGGTTGGGAATCACTGATCAACGGCATCGGCTCTATCTCCTTGTGGTTTGACATTCCAGCAGCCTGGAACATCCAAGGCAGAATTCCTCTAAGGGAGTTCCCCTATGCAAATCTGTCTCCATTCTAACAGCTTTGGTGAACACGATACGCAGTAGCATACTACCTAAAATGTGACACTCACACGTGAAAAGAAACATAAGCCTCACTAACCACTCGCACTGTTTCGTTATCATTCGAGGCTCCATTCGTTTTCCTCGAACTTTCAATGCAGCTGCATATACTAAGAGAAATAGAATGAGCGGAGCTTGATGATTAACGCCCTCGGCGTCACGTGACTAACGTCACGTGTTCAGGGAAAACGTGGAAAACGCCAATCCACCTTGGTGGAATGCTTCGACCTCCACCGACAAAATTCCCTATTTCCCACGACTGCAACTTTCTCAGGCTTCATTAGATGTATCAGAAGCACGAACGGCTAAATTCCATGAATAAAAAATCTCGCCGGATTCCTAAGTCGAACTTTCTGAAGAGAGAAAATTTCTCTTCGGAAATCCTTCAGAGCCGATGATGAGAGCTGCCCAAGAAGGTTCACACAATTCCTAGAGATCTCAAGGACTCACCGAAAAACGTGTTGAACTCGTGGACGAGCTTCTCCTGATGAAAAGGCGTTAGAGGCGCCCTCGGAAGGGTTAACTTCGTCCCCATTCCCACGAGATCGCATCGACAGAGCCGAGGCAGTCAGTCTGCATCCACCGTTCGGCAGGTGCGTGAGGAATGACGCCGCGAGGGGGCCCTGCATCGGGCGAGGAACGATGCCGTGAAGGAGGCTTGCATCGAGTGTGCAGATGGATGCAGGCGTGTGCACTCGTCGGGTGTGATTCCTGCTTTTTCAGGTGCGACGGGGGACGTCGAAGGTCCGCTATGATTCAGTATGCGGGTGTCTCGGCGAGTCTTTTCCCCAGCCCTCATTTCACTCTCATTTCATCCGTCGAGGGAGAAAGATAAGATTCGGGAATATGCCATTTGCAAAAAGGGGAAAACGAAAATATTTAATTAATGATATTCCACTAGATGAGGGAGAGATTCGCCTCGAAACCAGCAAGGGGGGAAAAGAAGCGAAAACAGCATGAGAAGCAGCCCGCAGTTTCAGCAGAAAGGTAAGCCTACGATCGCCTTGATCAACTTGAGCAGGAATTTCGGAATACTATGATAACATAGCGTAAATTTTTTTTTTAAATAAGAAGAAGCAAACCTAGATTACCTTCAGTGCTCAGAAAAATTCAGCCTTTCCTTGGAAATGTCAATTTGCATTCCTAGCAGAAATTTTGTCATTTTGTAAAGCATATCCTTGCGCAACTTTCCAGGACTTCCAGGACTCTTCTGCTGTCTGATGGTTGCGGGGGATGGTCTCTCGGTCATTCTGAATTGCAGTCTTCAACGGGAAAAACTTCGGCAGTCCGGAATGCCTAAGATGTCAGCTTATCGAACCACATTCCGAGAGCACTCCTGCTCTATTTCGTAGAACTTGAATTTTATATATTATATTTTTATTTTATTTAAATATAATTAATTTCATTACTTATTTATTATTATTATTATTTTTTACAAGGAACGACATGCAGTTCGACCTGGTCATCGCCCCTGAGTACTGCATTCGATTGAATTATAGGTGACTTTCACCACAGACACGCCAAAAAGTATTGTTACTAGCAGCGTAGCCGCAGCCACTCAGAATCGGCGTTGCCTCAATTTATAAAAAAAAGAAACGTTCTCACCATTTTCTCATATGAAAACACCATTTTAAACCTAAAAAAAAACTAGGAAGAATACAAAACAATTACTAAATAGGAGGAATTCGAGATCGGTAATGCATTTAAAAATGTACATTGGCATTGACATGTCTACACATGATGTTTCATAACCCATCATCAGGATTAAAAAGATGGGTGGGGTTTATGGGTCGATTGAGAAGCCATTATGCATGAAAGGAACACACGCTGAAATCAATATCGAGTCGGTAACGGGCAACACAGTGCCTCAGTTTTGTTCGTTGTGGAGTGGTTCTTCGACGCAAGATGGAAAACTTATTCCTGGAGGATTTGAAGCCTTTCTTGATTATTGCCAGGATCTTCGGATTCTTCCCATTCTCACTCACCCCTGAATTTCCCATTCGGATCCCGTTATTGATCTACTCCTTTCTCCTGATTGCTGCATACATTCTGACACTATACTGCCACAATGCACCGATTCTATCCAAGATGGGAGCCACTTTATCTGTTGCAGACTTCAAGTCTGTTCTCAATTTGGTCCGATTCAACGTTCAGATCGTCACAATTGTCATGGTCTTCTCCTCGTTCATTTTGTTCTTCAAGTTTTTGAATTTTCGTCAATTGGTTCGAAACGGAACCATTCACTTTACGACTGAAGAACATCGACGCATCCGATCTAGGGTGTATGCTGCGGGACTCGTCGCGCCTTCTCTTTGCGTCTTTATCTTGGGGCAAGGGTTAGCAATGCTCGTAAGGGGTGGAGTAGAACTTGATATAACTATGGTCCTGGGCATAATCCTGTCACTCACGCTACCGAGCCTGGAAGAGGGCATTTTCAGCTCCATCATGGTTGCAATCAGCGCCGGATTCGATTGTTTGAATTTGAAGGGGAGCCAGTTGACCGACGGCAAGGAGGCGTGCAGCTCCGTCCAAGACTTGAGGCGTCGTCACGGTCGGCTCTCGGATGTCCTGGATCTCACCAGTCGTCTCTTCTCCGAGATCTTGCTCTTAAGGGCTCTGACGACGTTTCTGGAGTGACTGCTGATCACCGTCATCGTGTCCATGCCTGCCTTGAGGCCCGAGACTCGTGACACTAGCGGTGTTATTCCTTACTACCTCCCAGCCTTTTTTCTCTCGGTGACGAAGTTCATCATCACCTGCATCGTCTGTCGATACGTGAAAAACAAGGTTCGAAAGAATTCCATCTTTTCGATAACCGGACTCAGGAATAAATTGTCATTATCCATATAATGTCAAGACGCTGAAGACGCTCTCACACTTTTTCTTGACGCTTCAGCCATCTACAGAAATGGTGTTGACCGATGAGCTTCAAACTGTGAATATCACTTGGAGGAGTAAGGGGATTCAATAGAAGACGGGCGTCCGAAAACATCACAACAATGTCAAAACCGTAACACGTCTTTTTTTCTAATTTGATGTTATGTAATGGTGCAGAGGTCCCTTCTATATTGAAATGGATTAAATAATTTATATAGGGCTGACCGAAAAGGTTTCTATGCATGCCACAGTACTTACTTGTACTCCATACTTGGTCGATATCGATGACTAAATATCTCAGATGAGATATTTAGCCTAAAAATCTCTCAAGTGTCGGCGCAAGGGAAAGGTGAAGCATGCAGGAAGGTCAATGGCTATCGCTGTTGACTTTTCTGCAATGTTCTCAGTTGCTAAAACTAAGGAGCTCAAACGCAAATTGAATAGAACCTAGTGATGTGAGACAGCCTTGAAGAAAACGACGAACTTTCAGGTGGAATTGCATTTCTGAATATGTTTGGTATTCATATGCCCACTTTCTCAACTGAACAGTTTTTTTTAATTATTATCTCAGTTGTTGTAGGATCATCCAATAAGTAAGCCAAACTCCAGAAAATGAATTGGTGAATAAATATAACAAGTAAGAATCATCTTGGTCCGCTGTATTTTCTTTTTTAATCGCTAGATATCATCGTTCTGCTTGTCTTGGGGCGACTTAATATTGTGCTCCCTATCAATTAATTTTGTTACAGAGGGCGAGATTGGGACCGATCTTGGCAAAGTCCGCCGGAATTACCATTCGAGATGAAGCCACCATTCAGCAGGTTGGCATCTCATTTGCCGAATCGTCTAGTGAAGAGCGTATGGAGATAACATTCTGTTCCATCTACACAGATTCAGATGCTGCAGAACCAGATGGCATCGACTGCAAATCCCATCACAGCTCTTGGACTTTTCGAAATGGACCTTCCTCTACTTATTGCCGTACGTTTTCTATGTCGATTCTGTTTCTCTAAACACACCATGTTTCTAACAACTTTCTACGATAATATTGACTACACATGAAAACTGGAATCAACAAAGTGGAGACCGAAAAAGAGCAAATACTCGCTTGTCTTAGGTCTTCGCATGAAGAGTTGTGCAAATAAAAGAAGAAGCCTTTTCATGGATTTCAAGTTATTTCAATTTTGGAAGTCAAGGATAGTTGGAAGAAAATACATTTGTCTCACATATTGCGTTGATGACACTATATTTCTGGCAGCTCTGTTCTTAAAAGGCAGTTCAAAAAGGGGAATTGTGCGCAGATAAACTGTAGTTTATTGCTCAGGCGGCAAGCCCAGCTTTCGTTTGGCACCATATTGACACTTTATAGCTGAGCGGGGAGACAGAAGGCACTCTGAAAGTAGGGGACAAATTTCTCAGAGGAATCAAGTCTGCCATACATTAGCAAACGTAAATATTTGTATAAAGCCTTCAAGATTGAAACATAATGAATGATTGCATGCAATTAAAAACCAACTTACCGAAGAGACACTGAAGAGTAAGGAATTTTGGGACTCCCAAGAAGGAAACGTCCATGAACAAAATCCTGACAAATCTTGGTGATTGAGAGTCCTTCAGGGAAAGGGGGAGGGGGCGGGATGTGCAACGTAAACGGCCAGGGAGGATTCCTTCTTGCCTTCAAAAGATAAAATAGCTTCGACGTAGACACAAAGTTGCTGCCCGTTGTATTCCCCAAAATTATAGCAAAACACTGCTTGTGTATTTTGGCATGCAGGCTCATATGTTCTTCATATCAGTCCTTATTCGCCGTGATACGAAGCCAAACATGAATGCGTCAATGGATTGCGGTACCTGAAAAAGTGGAAACATGTGATATGGTGCCTTCTAAGTGTCACGCCACGAGTGTCTCATTGGATTACGGCATTTAGCTCATGAGAGAGTAACACTTGAATATGTAACTTTCGTAAGTAATCTACAGAATTTAGAAGTTATTCTCGCGGGTAAACGGTATTTCAGTTATCAGCGCTCATAAACTTTATCCACTACTGGACACATACTGTACATGCAAAATAGATTTTTTTTTAATTACCAGAGCGTCATAACATGGAATTCGCGGCCATTATAATAGCGTAAAATATAATAATGTACCAGCATACGTGTACGTTTTGGTCTTTTTTGGAGCATAGCCGTGGTGCATATCGCAAACACTGCGATTTTCTTTCTCCTACAGGCTCTGGCGAACCTCGCAACCTATTTCGTGGTGTTGGCCCAGTTCATCCTGCCGTCAAATTTTGATTCGCACCCCTCATTCAATCAATCAAGCACGCACGGAAGCAAGGGATTGTAAGAAAGCTGTAAAAATACAAAAAAGTTGACTGTAGCGACCTATATGTATACAGTGAAACAGAAGCAGATTCTTAGACGCAAATATCAGGATATTATTTTGGAAACCGAACGACAGGGAAAAAGGAATGGATAAGCTTGCAAACAGGAAGGAATTCTCCACGTACAATTCAGGCATATTTCTAAGAGAAAAAACTTGACATGGCTGACATCAATGTCCGAATGACGTTGCATCGACTTTACTGATTGTCCCTCCGAATTCAGCCTACTCACGTTAACGTAGCAAAAAAGGTGTGATTTCATTTTAGTGCTCGTCTGAGTTCTAACATTCTCCAATTACTTTATGGTACAGGGAGGGAAAAAAAACTTTTAAACGAACTTCTTGTGGCCTCGTTGGATAACTCCCTTTCAGCGATGCATCAAGTCCTGAAGACTCAATTTTAAACAGAATGACCTTTGGAAAATTTTGCAACGAATGCCCTTGTATGTGTTGCGGCGATTATCGTGTTTTGCTGCCATTCAGCCAAATATTCCCACTGGTCCTAAAGATATGTTTCTTCATATTGAGAATCAATTCCAGCACGTGTTATGCATCTATTTCATTAGTGTTTTTCATTTTGGGGGCAATAAATTCAGTAGCTCCATTATATGAGACCAGGAAGTGTGGGCAGACAGAACTAAAAATGTAGCCCAACATCTTCAACATGACTTCATTTACAGTGCAAGCCAAACTTTAATCGAAAACAAATGTTGATATGAACATGAGACAAGTTCAGCCTTCGAATCACCCATCTGAGTTCATGAACACAAACTACAAATTGGGGGAGAGACTAACAATTTTGTCCCTCCACAGGGGAACCCCCAAACCCCCTTCCCCATTGAGTGTAACTAGAGACAATTGGTGCCTAATCAATTTCTTGAGGTATGCTTCGTGGCAGCTGAATCGGGTTTCGATCCATGGAGTCCCTCATTAGAATATTGGAATAAAAGTGTCTCGTCGTGTCCGTTGTTTGTTCACTGAATAGTTTTTTTTGTTCGCCGGACGGAGGAACGACAGTTAAATCTACATGAAACCTTTGAAATACCAACTCTTCAACGACACTCACTTCTCTTCCGGTCAAGGCAACTCCCGCGAACTGTATTGTGATGTGGCCCACGCCTACCTCTTTTCGCTCAAAATAATCTCAATCCTCGTCTCACGGGCCCAATAGGGCGTATAAATGCTAGCTCTGGATTTTTGCGACATCTCGGTGAAGGTGGGCAACATTCGGCCTATCTGTCGTTCAAATCACCTCGGCCCGGATACCTGCGGACAGATTGCTTCCGAAATTCAAATGCATGTCGGACGCCATCCTGTTAATTTTGGGATGTTCCTGCACGATATGTCCATATCCCACCGCATCGATCGACCTTCGCTAACCGGTTTTATTCTCATATCATTCCATGAACTCCGCAAAGATATGTATCATTCTAGCATGAAAAAAAGCCATATGACCAATGCAACATATAAAAGGAGAAGCAACCATGAATCCGAAATAATTATTGCACGATATCCGGCAATTGTGGTGGATGGGACCGAAGCCCGCACGATAAGCCTATATTGACAACTAAACTCTATTTTCACAGCAACAAAAGGGGGATCACGTTTCTCACTCCAAAAATTCCATATGTTCAGCTTGGTCAGACTATCTCCTCCAAAAACACCCCAGAGAGAGAGAGAGAGAGGTGGAATGATACTCATCTTCAAAAAGATTGCAACCCTGTAAATTAATGGGATTCGAGGTGAGGATTAGTTATGCTTTTTATTTCATGACTTCATCTTCAATTCGACCTGCATGTGGAATTAGGCGAATAATTCCTGACCGCTTGGACCTGTGAACTACGGGCTGGCCCAGATGCAGAAAGCGGCGAGGAGGAAACTTGGACGGTCAAAAATGTCATGAAATATCAATAACTTTAGCAGAAAATGAGAAAATCTCCTGAAATTCAAGACCGATAAGGAACAATAGATTGTAGGAAAAAAAACAAACAAAACATGAACATAGGATTAGGAATGGATGAACTTTACGTTACATCTGTCCGATGCATGAAGAGATCCATAAAACCCATCAGAAGGCCTGACGCAAAAACACAAAAATCTGCCATTATAACGAGACCGGAGCATGGGGCTCAATTCGTAATTGAGAAAAATCGAAGGGTCTTCATTAAGCAAGACATTCATTATCACGACAGAACCCAAAACAGTAATCCAAATCTTATGCAAGTACAACATACTCTAGCGTAATCACCCGAAATTCAACCACCTTTTGCATGGGCTGCACGCAAGAGTACAATTATATCCAACATTTCATTTATGGTCAATATGGCAGCGGGAGAAACGATAAACAAAACCTTTCACTCTTTGGATGCCTATGCCG